TAGGATCAGATCCTCTGGGAGTTATTTCTTCATTAATTGGTTCGGTTTAGGTAGAGCTTTCTTTTCTATGTTGGGGTTTGGCTAGAGTTACCTCTAAGTTCCTTACTTTTTCCGCCAATAGTTTACATAGTTTACATCTAATGCATGTATACTTTGGGTGTTCTTTGGGCATAAGCACATACATGGAACATGTATTGCATACCACAATAGTATCAGTCACCTGTTCCATGAGTTTGTTGTTTGAAAATCCCTTTTTTTGTTTTTGTGATCTGCAGGCTCTAGTCTACCACTATTCATAACATTTGGTCTGCTGCTGTCTGTAGGCCTTGCTCAACCACCGTCTGTAGCACCTGGTCTGCTGCTGGCTGCAGGCCCTGGTCTACTGCTGTCCGTACCACTTGCTCTGCTGCTGTCTGTAGGCCCTGGTCTATTGTGCTGTAGTGTTCCACCACCCTCACCACATGGCTCCCATCTGTCATGCCAGTGATCTGCTTCCTTCAGCAAACAGGGCTGCCTGGATGGTTCACAGTAAACTCTCCTCTTCTCTCCCTGGTTTGCTCTCCTCCCTTCTCCACTATCTCACCAGCTCTCTTGTTTCTCCTCTCTGCCAGTCATTGCGCTGCCCTCAGTCATCTTTCCTCTCTTTCCCACAGCCGATTCTCCTCTCTGCTCTGCAGATACCTCTTCGCTTTTTCTCTTCTTTAGTCTTTTTTATTTTTCTGACTTATCTTTCCCTCTTTACCTTTTCTCTTACCGTTTTGTCTTAGTTTAGGATAACTTAGTTTAATAGCAACTTCTCTTCCCACGATGTAAGCAAGCTTTCTCTGTGGCCGCCAAAGGCAAGCTATAAATATTTAATTTTTAAATTATTAATTTTGTTCTCAGTCCTGAAACAAATCTCATACAGGCAATTTACTCAGTTCAGTGCAGAGTATTCCTAAAAAAATACCAAATAAAGTTAAAGATTGATTTAGAAAACATTTTAGTCATTGAACTACAATTCCTTAGAGTTCTCCATATTCTTCAGTCTCACTTATTTTAAGAGAGATGTATCCTAGTGAACTATTAGTATTTTAATTCTTTAGATCACTTCTGTCCTGGTTCCTTTCAGCCTCTGAAGAGAATTTGAAAGCTTCACCACCACTGTTTATAAATGTACATTTGGCTCTCTTCCAGCTGTATCCCATAAGGTTTTTGACTAAAGAACTTCAAAGCCTTTAATGGGGTTTTCAAAGGAATTTAAAACAAACTAATTTTGTTTTAAAACCAATATAATGCCAGATTCGTTTTAGATTTCTGTTGCAACTCAAGGACTCAGAATAGCATATGATTGCTCACTTTCTCTTTAACTTTAAAACAAATTTCTGAGATGGATTAAACTGAACTAGCAATTGACTCAAATTTACCTATTCAAAAGGGAATTTATCATGAATCCAAACCAGACTCATCTTTATATATTGACTAGTACATGCTTCGTTGACCTAAGCACCATAATTTATAAAATCAGTAATTTGTATTTTTCCCCCAACAACTCAACAGCCTTGAAAGAGAATTCAGGAATAAAGGTTGCCATAATCTAGTGATTTTTCTTTTTTTAAAAAAAAAAGTTGATGTTTTAAACATGGTCTATGTCTAAATGACCAATCTCTTCAACCAAATAGCTTTTCACTACAAGAATGCAAGTAAAGTGGTTATACAAGTAAAGTGGCAGCAAGATTGATATTACTACCCTTTTGATTCAATGGTCTGTGAACAAAATGGGATTTATGCAAGATATTCAGACATTAGCCTCAATCACNCACTTATTTAAAACAACTTTTGCTTGTATGTATAACTGGTTTAAATTAGAGGAAGCCTTGGATTATGTAATTATAAAATTACATGGCAGAGTAAACCAAACTGCCTATGAAATTATAAAATGATTTTATAAGTATGATAGATGTTTAAGAAAAGAAAAATGTAATGGAAGCTTTGGATATTTTGAAAGCAAGAGAATTATGAAATTCACTTTATTTTACTGAACTCTGTTCAAACTTCCCTAGTGTGATATTCTCTAAATATGTGAGACTAAATTGCAAAGCCAGTGCAATATATTGACTTTTGCCTCCTCCCACATTTGACTGTTTTAAATTGTGTATACTCTGTATATCAATAGATGTACTGTACAAAAAGTATACATTGTTTTTTTCATTATTCAACTAACTTCTATGGATATGGTGCACCAATTCATAGCACTAAATGGAGCAAACCTATCAGCCATTAAAAATTCAAACATATAACAATAAAATCCCTGCAATTCTGCTGATTGACTAAATGACCAATATTGCATAGTTCATACAATTGAAAGCAATCATTTAGAACATAGAATAATAGAGTGGGAAGGACCTTGGAAGTGTTCTAGTTCAACCCCGTGCTCAGGCAAGAGAACCTATACCATTTCAGACAAATAGTTGTCCAGTCTCTTTTTGAAAGCCTCCAGTGATGAAGCACCCATAACTTCTGAAGTGAAGCTATTCCATTGGTTAATTGCTCTAATCATTAGGAATTTTCTCCTTAGTCTAGGTTGCTTCTCTCCTTGGTTAGTTTACAACCATTGTTTCTTGTCTTTCCTTTTGGTGCTGTAGAAAATAGTTTGACCATTGGTGGTCAAACTATTTAAGCCATTGGGTGAAACCACTTGGTTAGGAATCCAAAGGAAAACATTTCTGAAAGAAGAACCTCTAGCCACCATTTAAATATATCCAGTGAAGGATACTTTGTGGAGTTAGAGATATTAATACTTGTTTACTTATATTTGAATATTATCCTGGGACTAGGTTTGGGAAGTCCGGGGGGGTGGGAGGTGGGTTTTCATATAGTACTGTGTAATATTTGTGATGTTTTTTTCCTATGATGAAAATAATAAAAATTTTACATTAAATATATCCAGTGAAGGGATCTCACCATTTTTTGGGAAAACTGATTCCACCATCAAACTATTCTGCTATCAAGCTATTTCTATTACTGAACCAGAATATGTCCTTCTGTAATTTAAAGGCATTTGTTTGTGTCTTTCACTTTAGAATGACAAAGAACAGTTTTTGAATTTCATCTGTACTATAGCATTTTAGATATTGAGTTCTATTATATCCATGCTTTATTCAATTATTCTTGATATTCTTTATTGTCCTTCTGTGAACCTGTTTATTATCTGTGATAACTAGACCTGTGATAACTAGACATTCAGACAATGTTGGTGGTGAGGGCTAACTACAATATAATAAAATGTAATTTTTACTCCCATGTTTTTTTCCAGCTACATTACACTTAGTGACCCCTGTAATACACTTATTCCGAGATCTTTTTTTCACTAATACTGTTACAAAGTTAGGTATCCCCCATTCAAAATACATGCATAAGATATATGCAGAGGTTTTTTTTCTGACAACTTTGATACTTTTATGTTCAGCTCATTTTTCTAATCTATTAGGATTGATTTGAATTTTATTTCAACCTTCCAGGTTACTAGTTACAGATCCAATTTTATGTCGTCTCTAAATCTGATAAAAATGATCTTCCCCAGTTTAGCAAATACAAAAAATGTTAAAGTATATACCTATATGCATGAATTGACTTATCATCAACATCATAGCTGAACTATCATCTTCTTTTTTTTCAATTTACATTTCCTATTGGAACTGAAACTAAAGTTGGACACTTCTGTACTTTATCTAGAACATTCTGGTTTATGTAAAATTGGTATATCTGGACACTTGCCACAAATGTAGTCCTAAATTATACAAAACTGCTCACCAGGAATATTTTAAATTGTTATCTATTTATGCGAACAAATTCAAATCATTAATTAGTATTCTAGTATATGTATGTAGAAATTCAGAAATTATTCATGTTTCATTTTTTTTCCAACTATTCTGCTGCAGACAAAAGCAACATCCCTCATTTTACTTCCTAACTCTTACTTGACTCTTCATTCTGATTTTCATTTCTGAAACCTGCCAACTGAGCTATAAAAAAAATTACACAAAGTTACATTTTAGTCAAGTTAGTCCAGATTTGCATGGTTTGAGAGCAACTATAATGTACGCCTGGACTATGGTTAATTCTTTAGGTCCTAGGTCCTTAGGCCTGTACTAAGCAGTTGAATTTTGCCCCAACAAGGCCCCTGGAGGCCACAGATGGATTGCAAGTCCTCTTGTTCAGTCAAGGATGGGACACAATTCTCCTCAACAAAGTATGTTACATCTGAAGCTTCTTGTCCAGTTCTCCTAGTTGCTAGGAAACTGGATGAGAGGCTCAGAGTAATATAAGGCAAAGAAAAGTGTTAACTTCACTTTATTTTAAAAACTGGCCAGGGAATCATATTGCTTTATCAAGCAGCTATCAAGAGATGCTGTGCACAAATTTTCATTAAATGAAGCATCCCTTAATAGTTTTGCACTATTACCAAAAAATTTAACTTTTCCCTTAACTGTCTTAATTTACTCGCCATATCTGTAGAAGGATTCCAAATTAGTTTTATATTTATTTTGCTTTGAATGTTTTGTTAATTGTGGTAGAAGGTAAGCCATTCCAGTTTTTTCTTCCATCCACTGGCTTATCATAATGACACATTAAAATATAAAAGATGAAACTGTCTCTTGCTATAATTTTATAAAGGAAATATGAAAGTCAGACATCTGGATGGTGGTAACTTTGGGAAAAATTAGCAATGAACTCTAGTAATTGCTTGTTTGGCAATGTTTAGCGAAGAGCCCTAAATGCAATGTCCTTTATGACTTGTGAGATAAAACCTTGCAAAGCAATTCATATGCTAAAAATGTCCAGTGCTGTATAAAAATTTCTTTTAGCCAACATAACCATCTGGTCCACTATCGTTTCCCCACTCCTTTTACATAAACATTAGACATAACCATAAAATTATTTAAATTTGGGGATAAAGGCAGTTATCTACCAATCACTGTGGTAGTCATATTTATTTTAAAAAAATACCAGTAGTACCCATGGTAGTTCAACATGGATGGATTGTAGGTGATCCAAGTGTTCATGTTGCTGGAGTAATAGTTAACCAATTTCAAAGCATAGGTTTCCAGTCCTAATGACACTAAGCTCAAACAAGGAGCATTGCTCTATTTATTATAAGGAATGGCTGTATTGGTGTTATTGTCAATGATGCATTAGAGATTGATTCACTAATGTCAGAAGTTGCTAATTATATAGGGCCCTCTCTTATATCTGGATATTTTTTTTTTTGGCATGCTCAATCGTGTGCATTTTCATTCCATACTTAGTAATGTTGCCTTGATATCAGTGGACAGAATGTTGTCCTGTCAGTTTTGCCCCAAAGGGCAGATTTTCCACAAGCCATTTGAAAGCATGGTGTGTCTCCATAAATCTTTTATAAAATGACTGGCCAACTGACATAGCAGTTGTTTCATGCTGAGAGAACAATCAGAAATATTGCAAAGCAGCTGATTATACAAAATGAAATCACTGTCTATCTGGTAGCAAAGATCAAAATGTATGGAGTGAAGAAAAAGTTATGAAATAATTAACATACCTCTTACAAACTGAGAAGGGGTATCAGAGAAAGAAAAGCCAGAAGAATTCTTTATTTTCCCTTTTTCAAATTATGACTCCTGATTGGTTTTCTCCCTGCAAGATTCTAATATATGGATAAGAATAAAATAGGGAGACTCATGATGCAGCCTACAGAAACAGTTAAGCAAAAACTTACGATCTTTCAGTTCTTTTGTTTAAGAAAAAGAATGGAGAAAATTTGTCTTTTCACATGTACGTGAATTGTAGTTTTTTTACATGAATAAAATACTTTCCTGTGATCCAGGGTTATGAAAGCATTACCACACACTGTATGTGTTTCAATGAAATTTCTAAATATTTAAACACAAGATGGAATATTTTCTGGTCCCTTGAAATTGATAATAAAATAATCATCAGAATTTTTTAAAATCTTCCTTTTTATGTCTTTCCTCCACACTCCCCGATATTCCCTAATGAAACTATTACATTGTCAAGATTTTTACCCCAATGTTTGATCTATTTTAGTTACCTTATTCTTCTTCCAGATATGTTAGATGAGTTTAGTGTGTGAAAAATTGGTTCATAATTTATATTAGCTAATTTGTTTTTAAATTTCCCACAGGCCCAGCAGCTTACAGACTTGGAACAAAAACTAGCAATTGCAAGGGAAGAATTAGAAAAAGCAGCTCTTGACAAAGTAAGTAGTCTTCTCAGCATATCTGTGAGCTCTATTAATAAGCAGCTTTTGGGCACCCTAATTTAGAACTAAAAATCTTATTCTTGTAAAAACATGACCATAATTTTGATTTTACCTGTAATGAATGTTTCTTTTGAAAAGTGAAAGCTACCATGTCGAGTCCAGACATCCCACTGAGCCATTATTTCTTTCATCTATGCAATATTGAAAAAGATACCATGAGTTAATTCATAGTGAACACTAAATTATAAATTGTGGGTTTTTAAATCACATGCTAAGCCAAAAGCAAACTAACCATATTATGGTTCAATGTGGTGAGTTACTCCCACCATTTGTCTGAGCGTGTCTAGCTAATCCAATGTTCTTTGCAACAGTTGTCATACTATGCCAGGGGTAGGCAACCTTGGCTCTTTTATGATTTGTGGACTTCAACTCCCAGAATTCCTGAGCCAGCCATGCTGGCTCAGGAATTCTGGGAGTTGAAGTCCACGAGTCATAAAAGAGCCAATGTTGCCTATCCCTGTACTATGCCCTTCCCTTCCCAGGGAGTGGTCCCTGCACAGCTGAGGTGAGGAACAACATATTTTTATCTATTATTACCAGTCTCAATTTTCCTTAAATGCATTGTATCTGATCATTTATTTGGTGAAATTGATTTGGTTGAAATTAGGATTTTTTAAAAGCCTGAATAAATTATTCCTTATAATCCCGTGATATTTCCTCCCAGGAATCACAGCTGAAAGCTCTGAAGGAGACTGTACAACTATGCCTCTCATCGGTTTTACACACTAAGTCTCCTACTGCCAATATAATCCCTTCAAGATCAATCGACAGACAGACATCTTCTTTTAGAAATGGTTCAAAAGCTCCACTTCAAGTGACAAACCCCAAGGTATCTGGCTTTGCTTTTTTTTAAAATGGAAATTAAATCTCAAAATTCTAGCAAAATAAAACTGAAACTTTATTAAAACAGCAGAAATTTTAAAGGCAGTACTAAAGCTATCTTTATTTCCACTAAGCTTTGTTTGTTTGTTTAAATAAGATTTTGGGTATTTATTGTCTGCTACATATATCTCATTTACTATATATAGTACACTATAGAAATGTACTATAACAGTAAATAATCGCTTCTATACTATTCCATTCATTGATTCAATAAAGTTTCTTGTCAGTTAAACTCATCTCCTGGTGACCTCATACAAACAAACAGCCATGCTGTTTTGTTACAATACTAGTGCTTTCTTCCAGATTCTTTGTTTGTTTATTTTGTTTACTTCCCAGTCTAGGCTTTTTCCCTTTTGCCCTGAAAGTCACAGCTAGGAAATTTCCATTCAAGTAATTGCTAGGGTCTCCCGTGCTTAAATTCTGAGTCCAGAAAAGGTCATAGCTATAAATTCAGATCCTATTATTTGTGCTTATTGAAAAAAAAAGTATTATCCAGCAAAAGGTTAGCTGTTAATGGTTGCCATTAAAATCAATGGCACATGTTGGCCCTGACACAATTCTGTTTTATTACTGTCCACAGAGTATTGTTTATTTTAAATTGAGGAGCGCTTGGTGTCCTCTGAGCTTGGTTGTTTTCATCACCCAAACTAGGCAATATCATCAGTGCACTGATGATGTTACCTGGTTTGGGTAATGAAACATCTGCAAGAAAACTATCAAGCTCAGAGAGTACCAATGACTCCTCATTTCAACCATGAGCTACAAATATTCTCCATTATTTTGATTTTTTTATTACCCCATAAACTGGCAGTCACTTTAAATAGTGTTTTAATATAAGTCAGAGCAATAAAATGCCATACGTGTATTGTGACTATAGCTGAACATGGTTCCCAAACTAGGATAATTATGATTGCTGTGTCAATATGCAGTTGATAATTTTATGCTAAGCAGTATGCTTCAGCCATGATGTATAGGCACTTTTAGAATTGTTTTCTATTTCCAAACTCAATTTATTTAGCCAGGTACTTTGTGCACATCTAGAGTCCAGCAAAAGTTATCTTAGCAATCAGATTATTTCAGAATGCTTTATTCACACTGTGATTGTTGTCCTGTGTCACAGACATACTTTTGTAGGAGAGTTCAGACATCATTACTTCCCTCCCATACAAATATATTGAAATAACTCCTAATTAAACTATGGTTTTCTACCAATAATGTGCCTGAACATATGGAGTTAGTATTATGGACCAATGGCATTGAACCTTTTCTCATCAATAGGAACTTTGGTCATGTAAGTAATTACTTGAATATGTCTCAGTTATGTAGAGATATTCATTGTCATCTTTCATTCTAAAGGTAGGAGGGATCTATCTACAGGTAATCCTTGACTTATAATATTTTGTTTAGTGACTTATTACATTTGAAATTACAACGGCACTGAAAAAAGTGACTTATGATTGTTTCTCACACTTGGGACCATTGCAGCATCCCCTTGGTCACATGATCAAAATTCAGACACTTGGCAATTGGCTCATATTTATGAAGCTTGCAGTATCCCAGGGTTATGTGATTACGTTTTGTGATTTTCTGACCAGCAAAATCATTGGGAAAGCCAGATTCATTTAACAACTGTGTTACTAACTTAACAATTGCAGTGATTCAATTAACATTTGTGGCAAGAAAGGTTATAAAATGGGGCAACTGTCTTGCTTAGCAATAGAAATTTTGGCCTCAATTGTGATAATAAGTAAATGACTACATCTATCTATCTATCTATCTATCTATCTATCTATCTATCTATCTATCTATCTATCTATCTATCTATCTATCTAACGATCTAACTATCATCATAATCTATCATCTGTCTATCTATCATCTATTTATCCATCAGTGTGTCTATCTATCATGTTTCTGTCTAACTTTGTGCAAATAAGATAGGAAAAAAACAGAATAAAACCAGATTTTTTAAAAAAAGGCTGAGTAAATATTATTCCTGATTCTCTTGTGAAGCACCTATGACATGTTTCTTTCCTCAGCAGTCAGAGCTGAAATTTCTTAAACAGAAGTACTTCATTAATTTTATACAATCAGTCCCCTACTATTAAGGATGAATAGGCAGGAAGGTCTGCAACAGGCCATTGTGCAACATGTTGCTAATAAGGCCAACAATGTTCACTCAAAATTTAACTCTTCATAGGTGGGACTGAAGTGGTAGCAGAGGCAATGTCATTTTCTGAAATCTGGGATTCCTTTTGGTAGATTCTGATGAAGTAGATAGGAGGTTTTCTAGGCTACTTCAGGTTATTGGGGTGGTGCATCCTCTCTTGAAGAAGACTTCCCTGAATCTCTCAGAAAACTATTATCTTAAGTCTATCCCTTATTCCCTTTTTAGGGAATATTGTTGATGAGGTGGTAGAGAGAGGGTGTGATGTAGTGAGTAACGTGCTGGACCAGAAGCAAGAAAACTCAGCTTCTAGTTTTCCTGTAGGCATGGAAATCAATTCAGTGATCTTGGGCCAATTACTCCCTCTGAGCGCTAAATAGGGATGAACAAAATATGGCTAAAAAACAAACTCCTCTTCACATTATGCATTGATAAGCTTTTCTGTAAGAACTAGGCAAGCACAGCTTAAAACCAGCAGACTCTACAATTAGGCAAAACAAATATGAAGAGAAACAATAATAACATTTCTGAGGAATTGGTGAGGCCTCAATTACATTTCAAGGCATTTGATAGAAGCAGAATTGATCATTCTAATAAATTATTCTTGTCAGAATCTAAATGTGGGAACTATATGCTGCCTGATCTTATCTCCTAGCTGCAAGGTACTGGGCAAATCATACTGGCATGATTTACAGTGAGTTTGCTCTTTCCTAAGGGGATAAGCACTAGTTGGTGACAGTGGAGTAGAATGGCAACAATAATGCATGCTTTTATGCTTTTATACTGTCCAGTTAGACTAGTGCATTTACATATGCTTGACTTTGAAGACTGCTCAGTACTGGTGGCTGACAGCCACTATAGTATGTAATACATTGCATCTATGCTAACCAGTTTCAAAGTGCTGGTTTTAACCTCTGAAGTCCATCACTACTCCTGGGTAGAATTTCCTCATCCAATGTATTTGCTCCAGTTGGGAATGGTTCTTGTACCTACAAAAAAATGACCTGACTGGAGACCATGAGGCAAAGCTTTTCCATAGCAGGACCCTGTTTCAAGCCTGTGCTTGAAGATCTGGTTTATGCCTCACTCATTTCATAAGGCAGATAAAATGGAATTCTTCTACAGGGCTTTTCAAAGTTCATACTGCCTTCTTCAATTGGTGTTGGCAACAATTACTTTTATCTGTCCTTTTTACTTTGTCAACTTTTGTCTCAAATGTTGTTTCATGGTTGCGTAATTGTGGATTTTAGAAATGGTGATATTTATAAACATGATACATGCATCATAAAGTCATCTCTTTTAAACAAGCCATCCGAGATGGAAGTAAATTGTCCCAAACAACTTCTCATATAAATTGGACAGAATATATTTAATTATAAGGTTCTTAATCAATAAGGTGGAGATTGTTGCCTGTTAAACATAACAAATTCAAGGCTGTTTCTATAGAAAAACAGAAAATTGTAACTTCAGCCTTCCATCTTATTTGGTATATAGTGTATCTAAAGGAGAGTTATTTGGCCTTTGACTATTTCAATTATTTCTAGAATCAAAATGCTACAGCAGCAATAAAAGTATTATTAGTAGTATTATCCTTATTATTACTATTAGTATATACACAACAATGTGAAATCACAATTGTCAGTACCTGGGGTTGATCTTCATTTGCATCGAGATTTCCCCAAGGTTTTTAAGTGGTGCTCCATATGTTTTGGGATTGCATCCAGGATGCTTATTGCTATTGGTACTATCTTTGCCTTCTTTTGGCAAAGTTGTTTTTCAGAAATGTTTTTTTTTTCTTTTTAAGCAAGGTCTATTCTCAACAATGTCTCCTAGATTCATTTCAAAATGTCTCCTTAGGCAGCATTTCTGAAACACCGTTATAGACTTTCTCTCCAGGGTTCAGAATAATCAATAGATTGTAATTCATAACATGTTCATTCAATATCTTTCACTGAGAAATGTGATTGCTTGTGAGATATTGCTGAGACTAGACCATGTCATGCATGTATCTGGGGAAAAAATGGGTCATGAATTTGCTGCTTTGTTCATAGAGATCTTATTGTAAATATATATTACCCGTAGTTACAGTTCTTGAAGTCTGCTACTGTACTGTAGTACTTGTTCTCAGTGAGTAATGATCCAGGTTTGAATTATACTCATCACAACCAAATTATATTATTGAACTATTATACTATATTATGACACTGAAACAGACCATAAGGTATAAACCAGATGAAAAAAACCCTTGAAATGATACTATCTGTGATGCAAGTCAATCTAGTTGCTGCTTATCAAAATGGCAAGATTCACAAGTATTACATTTATAATGGTCCCGGTCACATTTTTAAAAGTGCATATATCAATTCATTTTTAGGGGGGGAAAAACCAAAATGATTAAACTAAAGAATGGAATAGTTCTTTATATGTCTAAGGCTAATTAGCTTTAAAAATAACCAATTCCTAATATGATCTTATGAAAAAGATAACAGGATAACTGCTTGCAAGTCCAACCCCCTGCTCAGGCAGGAAATCTATATACCATTTCAGACAAATGATTGGCCAATCTCTTCTTAAAAACTTCCAGTGTTTTCACTTCTGGAACAACTTTTTGCTCCAAACATCATCGATAGTACACTCACTGTTTCTTGCAAAAGAATTGGACTGACTAGATCAGTAATTGCCATCAGAAATAAAGGATTATATTAGTTACTTTTAATTTATTAAGAACTGCATATCAACAACATAGAGAGCAGTCTGAAACAAGTAGTTAAAATGATAGGAGG